GCAGGCAATGCAATGGGTGCTGAGATGCATGTTGATAATATTAAGCCAAAGACATATGGCCAGTATGCAGTATCTGGATGCATTTGGAATATGTGGCATGTATGTTATTTTTAAGTCATGTATGTAATATTTTAAATAAACCAGTGCATGAAAGACAACAGCCTTTTTAAGCAGGTCTTGAAGCCAGTTAGGGAAACCCAGTGTAGTCCCGTAATAGGTAATACGGTATCTCTTAGCTAGCCTAGTATATAAGAAACAGCCTTCATGTGTTCCTCCAAAGCAGTAAAATAGATCAAATTGTTTTATGGGAAGTGTTTTCAGCTGAACACTGAAAAGGAGGTTTATGCAAGGGATATATGTTGAACATAGATGTTGAAGACATTTAGAACTCCTAAGGCTTCATCTGATTGCCACAGGAAAAAGGAGCAGGGACTGAATTGTACTATGAATAAATAGCTGTGCAGCCAATTTATAGAGAATTTGTAATCAAACTGAGAGAACCCTCCTTCCCTCAGTACAAAGGCAACCATGCATTCAGACTATATGATTGTAGCAGCCTCTTTACAGACACTGCTGTGAAAAAGAAGCCAGTATCTAAATAAAGCAAGATCAGTCCTCTTATATCCTAGAGACAATTTAATGTTTAAAAATGACCCTTTAGCTGACTTGGGAGATAAATCAGCAGTGAGAATATGCTATTGATGAATGAGGCTACCATCTTTCAGATGAATTTTTTTTTTTTTTTTTGCAAAGGACCAGATTAAGGAAGACAGTCTGAAAGACCATATTAAAGGAATACCCACCATGCAGATTCATAAAAAACATGCTCTGTCATAGTAATTCAGGATCAAATTCTGTTGTAAAAACTAAAAAAAAGTTCTGATTCTTTTCTTTTTTCCCATTTGCAGAATAATTTAACCAGTAGCTGCTAAATTGAATGAAGGGACAGCCTTATAGGAAAACAATACTATGTACTAACTGGGTCTAAAAGGTTTTATTTGCTTGACTGTAATGCTGTACAATCAGAACTAAATCTAGACATGCAGGTATTGGCTAATGTTTTCTACTATGCTTTCTTCCCAGTGACCTGTTTTGATCTGCTTTGTTGTTTTGTAAAGCTATTTAGCTCTTACCAACTTCCTATCATAAAGTTATCTTTGTTACACAAGCATAAAGATTATTTTGAATCTCAGAAATCTTGTACCATCCTTGTAAAATCTCTGAATGCCAACCATTCTTTAGAAATCCATTTGCTATTTTTCAGGGTTTAAAATACCTATAATCCAGTTAAGAAGGATGGAATTTACTCTACAGCCGTAAGCTGATCTTCCCTGTATTCACATCAGATATGAAATGGGTTGAACTTTACTCTCCATTGGAGAAATTAAAAAAGTGAAGAAAATTATGAATATTAGAATGAGAGACAGAAACATGTAATTTTAATAGCATGAGGCACAATACCAATATAACTTAAGCATATTGATAATAGGAATAAAGGTCTTGTGTTGAATCATACCATCAAAAACTAGCATCGAAATATTGCAAAAAACCCCCAAAACCGTGAGACCTGCATACATTATATGCAAGCTTCTTTGAAACTCACTCCCTTACAAAACTTAAAAATGTTGGATGCCTTGCCTCTCCTAACACATGGCAGAAGTATTGCTAAATATCCCCAGTACAGCATTAGGCCTGCCTCCTTCCCATAACCTTTTGCAAAGGGAAGCTCTTTTAACTCATCTCTTCGGAAGTACAGTGGATACTGTCTAGCAGATGTGCTGGATAAGTACATGTCCCTGCTACAGTTGCCCAGTGTTGTGGATCTGCTGGTGTGTACTGTTTAACCTTCCATGATAGCAATAGAATAGGGCATAACCTAGCCCATAACTGGCAAACAAATTCTCTTGGAACTTGTCTGTACTAGAGTATGGATTGTGCTTGAAACTTGAGCTAATCGGTTGCTAGGTAAGTCAAGTTAACTTCAGTGATTGTAATGAGCTGTCAAAGATACTTGGAAAAAGGTTTGTTGCTGAACATGGGTCACAGGTTTGTCTGTGCTAGTGATCTTTCTCTTGATTTATTTCATAACACAATGATTTGTCAAATGTCCAAGTTAGGATGAACAAGTTACTAGGTTACTAAGGTAAATGAGCAGTCACAAAAGCTAAAAATCTGCAGTTCAGACATAGGTTTAGACGATGGAAAAATCACAACTAGAAAAAAGTGTCACCTGGGAAAAATGATTATATATGACTACACAAGAATTTACAATTTAAAAAAAAATTAGCTTAGCTCACTTTACAGTATAATCAAAAACAGTTGTGCTGATGTACACAGAATTCCACTGTAGCAACTGGTGTAATGGAGGAGAATCTTACCCATATTCTGGTAGAATATGAAAAGTACCATTTCTTTTCTGATTTAGCCTCCTTTTTTTGTTGGCTTCATAGTTAAGGCACTCATTCCACCCACAACTAAGCAATGTTTTTTACCAAAGTAGTTATTCCTGACATTTCTGTGCAAGACCATATTCTACTCTTGGATCCAGTTAGCAGTAAAGAACATTGTTTATGCCCTTGAATGCACACGTTTTCTGGTAGATTTCTTTGAGCTGTACTGTCCATCCCAGTGGTAGAATCAAGAGATTGAGATCAACATTACTGTGGCTTATGCAGCAAGATGAAGGATAAGGTAGGTGCTGGCAAAGACATTGCCAGGCTTGTCTGTCCTTTTTCAGGAATTCTGCCCACAAGAGTTAAGGTTGTGGTGAGCATTTGGCTGCTGATTTCTTTTCACTAGGAGTACAGTGCATCTCTCTACCTCTGGAAAATGCTTGCTGCCAACAACATCATATGTACTAGCTAGCTAAAGTGACAGTTGCCTTTGACTTGTAGAGAGCACTCCCTGTGAGATGTGGTGAATGAGTTGCTATATTTACTGGCGCTCTCTTCTGGTGCACTTTTTGAGCACTGCAGTAAAATATCAGCCTATTCTTTCTGTGGGAAAAGAGATTCCCTATATACACTCTTCATTCCTCTTGACCCAGGAAGTAAGATTTTACCCATGTGCTACTACAACTGGGAGATTAGCCAGCTAAAGTTGGGGGAGCCTCTATTCAGTTGCATAATAAGAAAGGAGACAGGTGTTGTGCTGCTAATAATTGAGATGAAGGCATTGGTAGCAGCTGTGACTACTGGAGCTCCTCCCTCGCAGAAGGAATTGTCCTATCACTATTGTGTCTAAGAAGAAATAATTGAGAAATAATCAGGTCACTCACTCAGCTTCTTTAACACTTGGTTTAGTCTTTTGGTTGTATTATTTCATCAAGATTTTTCCATTCATACAGCAGGGATCCCTCAACTGAAATCTTTCTCCTGCTGTTCAAGATTAGGCTTCTGTTGACTCAGTCATATCAGTGAGTGCTTGTAGAAAGACAGAAAAAAGAAATCAAGTAAAATCTTCCGTAAATATAAAGGCAGAAATATGTGTAACCATTACATTACTGGCTCAGTATGTTGTGTTGAGCTCTGACCACTCCTCTGATTACCCCCACCTGATGTCATAGTGTTTTCCAGGCATTCCTAGAAGGTGGGTTTTAAGTATAATGAGCCCATGTAAAGTTCAGACTGTGTGTACACATTGACCGTGTTAAGTATTTTTTGTAAATAACTCTTATTTGGAGTAGCAGCATGGTCCAGTCAGATTTAGAACTAGGTTGGGAGTCAGTTGTGTTTCCAGCTCCGCTGCTGACCTTGGGTGTCCTTGTGCTTAACCCTTCTGTGCCTCTTTATCTGTAAAATGAGGATATTTATATTTACCTTTCTTTTGAAAGTGATTTGAGAGCTAAAGATAAGAATAGCTTTACAAAAGTCAGTATCATCATCAACACTATCATTATCATAACTGTTTATAGAACTGATGGATGTGTAGAGAACTATGAAAAGCTCAATCATCAGCCTGCCTAAACTGAAATAATGCCTTCAGCAGTAGTTACCTTGGGCCTGTGATTTATTTGTGTTTACTTAGCCTTGAAAACGTAATAGGTGTCTCACAAAAAGGGAGCAGATATGGTTGCGCTTATGGCTTGTAAAGTAATTTTAGCAATAATGTGTCATAAGTGGAGAGAGCCATGAAGAGTAAGAGTGTAGAAGATTCAAAAGTAGCAACAAGGAAATAAGATTGCACTTACATTTGATATCCAAACACCCTAGTAATTTTCATTTAAGCAGTCTAAACTGCTGTAATATGTTATTTTGTGCACTGTATTTAATCACTTTACCAAGATTGTGGATGCTTAATGATCTCTGTTGGCTTCACTTGCAGAAGTAATGAGTATTACTAACATCAAGTTCTATTGATGCTAGTTGTAGGATTAATGTGTGCTTAGTGCCCTTTGAAAACCAAACCATGCCAATACAACATAGGATACATATAGCAATATTGATATTGGCAAGTAGAACAAACAAGAATATTGTCCCTCCTCCAGAATTCTGTGAACTTCTGAACCATTTCATTGAGTGAAGATGGTAGAAAAATAGTTCGCTGTCTGTTTCTGTAGCAATGTGAGATATGACTATGGCATTAGAATGGCACAGAACGTACTTTGGGGAGCAGGAGGAGGGAGCAAGGTACGTGTTGGAGAAGTCAACAAATCTTAGGAAAGGAGTGGAGAAAAAGAGAAAATAACATTCTCAAATCTGCCATAATGGACTTAAGTTCCTACTTCCAACACTCTCAAATGACTTAGCTCTTGAAAGTCCAAGAATCTTAGGCTCCAAATGCATAGCAGCATGAAAGGAAGAGAGCGGCATAGCTCTTTTTAAGTCAGGATGAGAGGGAAGGGCTGAATGGGACGTCCAGGGAGGTGCATGGGAAGAGAATGAGATTGTCTTTCCTTTCTCATGCTTTGCAAAGTGTGGAAGAGTGAAGGTAGGTGGAAATAAACTGACCAGCACATTTGAGAGGAACCGTTTTACCTCCCCTTCATTTTAGTACCTATAGTGAGACCCCAAGAGTGTTCTTTAACTAAGGGCAATTTCAACAGAATTTAATGCATCCGCAATCCATAATGTGGTGGTGTAAAGGTGAATCGAAGAGAGAGAGTGTTATGGTTGGAGGCTGGGAGGTTGGACTGTCCTCAAGGCACCCAGAGGATTTGTCCATTCATACAGCACTGAGCTATACCACAGTGCTGACAACTTTGAAGTGGTGTAATAAAAAGTTTGGCCATGCAGCTCCTGTCTTGTGACTAGAAGAGAGTCATGTGCTCATTAGAACATCTAGTTGCTTACCACATCAAAACAGGCTGGCTAGCCACTGCTGCTACAAAATCCCAGGGTATGCCACACTGCTTCTCTCAGCTTGCTGTGTTTAAAATAGGATCTAAAACCTCTCTGTGTTCCATCTTTAGTACTCTCTGCTTGCTATGGCATTACTAGAGCTTACCAGGAAGCTCATTCTCATAAGTCATCACACTGCTTAGAACAAGTAGATATGATATATAATGATTTATCATTATGCGCTTTGCATTGTGTGGATGAAGAAAGCATTGGGGAAATGTATGTTGAAGCAAGCTGTGCAAGATCACTTATTAGGGACCAGAAACATTCAGGTGTTAAACAGATGTGTTTTTTATAACAGGTGAACAGAACTGTTTGGGGATACTCTTTGATGAGGTTGCATAACAAAGGTAGTCTTTGTATAGGTTTAATTGCAGCCTATACACACCATGCATGTGTAAACATTTCTGGTTATATTATGAGTTCTCATTAATCAAGATAGTTCACTGCCTCCTTACAACCATTTGATCAGTCCTCAGGTGTTGTAAATTGCTGCAAGGCCGCCAGTGTCAGCAGAGCTGTATCACTTTATACCCGCTGATGTTTTGGTCTGTTGTTTTTAGCAAGCTTTATCCTCAAAAACCAGAAAGTCAACAACATACATGGAGAGACTTTATTTGACCAATAGAATTCTAAGTCAGAGACTTCAAAGGTATGATCAATACGAGTTGAATAAAGCTGTTAAAGCAGTGATCTGTGCTCTATGCCTCAGGTGTTTAGTTTAAAATCAGAGACAGGATGCAGATAAAGTCTTTTCTTCTGGCAATAAACCTGTTTTTCCTGTGGCAAAGCTGTTAAGAGGCTGCTCTAGTATATGTACAAGTAGAATTTTGAGCCAGGGTACTTAGGCCTAGTTTTGATCTTTGACCTGGCTAAACTCAGAGTATCTTCAGAGATCAGTGGAGTAGCTACTCCAAATAATCTGTGTTCCCATTATTTTAGTTGCTGAGACAGATAGCCCAGCGTATGCTCAGGTAAGCAGACATTGTATGTGATTGTAGGTATAGTGTTAGTTAACCTTAGGACAACTCTTGACTTAATATCATATGAGAGACAACTTTTTAAATATCCATATTCATGTTGTTACATGGGACAAATCTCTAGAATAACATCATAGTATTTATATACTCATGGTCTGAACTATGGTAGGAGACGGGCACCCCTAATCATAGCTTCCTGTTGGGGCCTGGTCATGGCCCCTTCAGCTTAGCTCTGTGGAAGGAAGGGTGGCCTCCTTTAGCGCCCCCTGGCTTCTAGCCCAAGCCATTGCAGGCATGTGCCTGCGTTTCTGGGGTGTCTGTCCGGTTACAAAACCGATTTAGCCTAGCCAGGTTAGACTAACCTGCAAAGATTGAATCAATTGAAGCTCAGGCTTTTTGAATGCCTGTCCCTAGCCCTGGTATGCTACAAATTTGAACCAGTTTTCAGTCAGTTATATCAGTTTTTGTAATTTTTGTCCCAAGCCTATGAATTGGAGCTAATGAGTCTTATTCGGTGCACCTGCTAAGGTGAATAAGCACAATATTTTGGTTTTCTCTGCAGTGTCCTAAATTCTGCCTTTGTGATACCACATTCCAATTTTTAAAAAAAGCCAAAACACTACCAGAATTGACGTTATACTTTTAAAATAATAATTCCTTTCCATTGGATTAATCTTTTAATGCCAATAATCACAAAGGACTCTACAATTCCAAGTTTTAATGTTCCAAATCCAGATAAGGGAAGTTGTTGTTCTCAAATATGTGTGTCATATGTATGGATCAAGCATGCAGTTTTGGAAAAGACTGAAAGGAAATCCTTAGAGTCCTTTCTGTACCCTCCCAGCTGGTGATTTATCTTCCAAAAAAATCAATGACCTGCAGAAATACTGCAGCCTGTGAGTCATTGTTCTGAAAGCACTTGAGAGGAATAGGAACCATGTGGTGCAGCGCTGTATGCATTTGAATTGAATTCCTTGCAGAATGAGATATGGATAAGCTTTTTGGCATAACACGCCCACTTCTGTAAACTTGCAGTTTGAACCAGCCAGCAGTACTAAAAGCAAGAAGAAGCTCCTGCTGACCTGAAAGAGCAGACCCAATGGGCTGTGAGACTGTAGATGTGCTGGAAGGTTTTTACGCATCCCACTCCAAGGTAAGGCAAAAGATGATTTTCTGCTACTGCTGCTTCTGCTGGCTACAACAGTGCTGGCAAGGAAGCGCCTGCAGTTTGTGAAAGCTATTGATAACTAGGTACAATGGCTGGGACAGTGCTAGTAATTTGTGATGTATGGGAAGCCTCAACCAGGCTGAATAGTACAGAAGGCTGGAGTTTTCAGAGGTCCATCCATGGTAGCTTCAGGTGCTCATGCCCACTAATTCAGCTCAATTATACATAAACATAAAATGACTGTAAAGAAGGCCAGCACCTTTATGGAAATATTCTCCACCTGCATAATTCTCCTTCATGTTTAGATACTTTGATTGGTAACAGAAATTGCTTTACACACCTGAGAAATATTTTTGCGCCTGTATCTTACAGCCTGCTGATATGGATTCAGTAGCTTTGGAATCCGTACCTCACAATGCAGGTTCTCTCTCAGCCAGAAGGACATTCTGCTAAACTGTTTCTTATTACTGACTCCAGTGTACTGTTGTCCGGAAAATATTTCACTGATATTTCTATTTTGTGTTTGATCAATTCTGTAAGTAATTTACAATCTTGAAAGTGCTTATGTATTCTGATAAAATAAAAATTAATTATTCATCACTTTACTTTTATATTTTCCTTGAAATTTCCCCCTGGCAATTTTTCTTTCACTTTGAATCACTAGGTATCCTGGAGTACTAGTTCCCATATTTGGATATTTGCAAGATAGATATGGTAAACTGGAGGAGTATTTTTTAAGTTTCTGCCCCTAGTTGAAAGTTATATTTGAGAAAAGGAGGGGAATCTGATTGAAGCAAGTAAGTATTCTAAAATGAAGTTTCATATTGCTCTCAAAAGAGCATCTTTCTTGGGATATAGATGACTGCAAATCTGATAAGATGGAACTTCTGACCTCTACAGTAGATTGAAATCAGGATTGGGTTATTAATGGTCAAATACGCATCAGCATCTGACTGTCGGCAGCCTACATGAATTGGTGAGGGGGAGTAGTTTCAATTGATTTTCCAAGAGCAGGCAGTTAGCTATCCCAAAAGCCACAAACTGAACTGATCTTACCAAGAAGAATTGCATGGGGATGTAAACAGAGCTTCCCAAATGATGCTTCATCCTCTCAGGTCAATGTGAGGGAGTGAATGAGGGAGACCCAGTCATGTTGGGGACTGCTTGCACTGCTGATGCACCTATTTTGCACACAAATGAAGGTCTCTCATTTCTTGTGGTTTCAATCTGACTATGTTTACAGGCATCTACTTCAGAAAAAAGAAATGCAAATATATAACATTTAAACTAAAGATAACATCTTCTGTAAGAAGGAAACTAAGTAGACTGTGATGCTACATTTTACAGCAAATTGAAAGGCAATGTTCTCTATCTCCAAATAAGAGGAATAGGAAGATCTCAAGTATTTAATAGATGCAAGGAACTTTAGTTGCGTACAACCGCTGACAAAACAAAATAGACTAGATCCTGAGTGCTATGGACTTTCTGGTAAACTTGCCTTATTATTGTTATGAAGAGACAGAAAGTCAGGAGAAACCAAACTGCAGAAAAGTGAAGGTCTAAATTAGAGAGATTTCTGTGACAAATATGGCCTTCCCTAGATGTTTGAATAACATTCTATATCCATCTTCAGGGCTGTTCATGCAGGCCAAAAACAGGTTGAATTAACGGGTCTAAATGCCAAACCAGTCTTCATTTTTCATTTTACAGCTTTTAATGCCATGGAGACCCTAGCCTTGGTACAGACTTCCCGCATGATTATGTGTTTTGGTTTTCCAGCTGCATCATTAATCCAATTTAATTTTCTCCATGTTTCTATTTGTCATGTCTATGTGGATCAAAGCTTCTCGGAGCAGGGGTTTGCAATGAAATTGTACAGGTTCTGTCCAATCTGTGTGAAGATAGCTGCAGTTTTTTGTAATGCCCCTCATTGTCACTGGTAATGCAATAGTTTTCTTGCTGCCGTTCCAAGCTGAGCCTGGATACTGTTATGGGAGTGCAAATCCAGAGGGCAGCACAGCTAATGGCTAGGGACAGAAGTTACACATAAACCAGCTTAAGTGATCAGAAATTGGTTTAAGCCTGTAACAGAACAGAAGTTCTGCACATAAACTAGTTTCAAAATGGCTGATACTAGTTTACGATAAACCTGGTTGAATGTACTATCAGACTTAACTGATTTGGGTCAAACAGGTTTATGAAACTTCTGGCCTAGACCCCTTCCTGGTTCAAGTGAAATCAGTCCCCCAGCATGCTTTCCAACCCTGGGCTAGGCTG